CAGGTTTGAGGGCGGCTGTATTGACCGAAAAAATTGGTGTTCGGTAAAACCTACAATGTTTCAGTGGATGAAAGTGAGATCGTTGTCAAAGCTTCCTTTTGGCAGAGGTCGGCCCGCCAAACAATGACTTCGCCACCTTTGTCGGCCGCTTTGATAACTATGTCTGCTTTTGTTTTTTTGTTTTTTGGCTTTTTAGTGTTTTAAAACTCTTCACGGTGGCCAATTTACGTTATAAAATCAGTTGATAGTACATCATTACCCTATTTCAAAGACAGCCCGTTTTTGGCCAGCTGCACAAATTACTGAAAATTCATTATCCTTTGTCTTACGAATATGATTTTTCCCTGTTCTGATGTCGATGAAATTCTAAATTATTTTTATACCGAAATAAAGCGATGTTAAACTGGCACTATTTTCATTTCAGCAGCGGTAAACGCAGCGTGAAAAAAAGAGATCGCAAAATTAATTCTATATTTGCTTTATTTCATTAGCTTTGTTGACTTAAATAAAAAAAAAAGGTACCGGACAAATGGCTTTAACTGAATGTTCTTGATAAAGAAAAAAATTATGAATATTGACATGTCCGTGCAGCTTTAGTTTTAAGAAAAGAAGCCTTTAGAAAAATTAATAAATAAAGCCATGTTCATATTTTGCACAAAAAAGGCGCAGTTTAGACAGTGTTACTAAGCCTGATTAAATTTTCGTCTGAAAATTTGATCTATAAACGCTTATTTGAGTTGATTTTAGGAGGCGGGAATTAAGATGTGTGGTTTGAAAATTTGAATTTGAATTTTATTTCATAGAGAAATGAAGTCTTAAAAGCTCTCTCAGCTCAGGAAATATATGCATCAAACACTAGTATATTAATGCGAGCTCCGCTTTTAGGCTTGGCTAAATCTATACATTATTTTAGCTTCGGGTTCGCACAATTTTGTAAAGAGTTTGAGTTGGATTCAATCTCGAGAGAATGGCTTATAAGTAGAGTAAAAAACCTTCCGAACATGCCGATAATTAGACGTGCTGATTTCATGAAGAAAGCAAATTAAGTTTCTACTGCGCTGTAAACTGTCACCAGAACTGATAACAATATCAAGGAGGGTTATTAAAAAAAGATAATAATAGTAAAATCCGTTTTCTTGGTCTTGCCATTTCAGTGGGCATACAATGGAAAACAATGCCCAGGGTCAAGACTGAATATTATTGGCGCTCAGAGAAATATTAAAAAAAGCAATCAAGATTTACACACATAACGAGACCCGTGGGAGGGTTTTTCTGTGTCACATACAGGTTTTTAATTTGTGTAAAAATTTGAACAAAGAATATTTATGAGGGAATCTAAAGCCAATGATAGGTTGCTAAGAAACTTAAATGGGCTCCTGGCCCTCATTCATTTTAAACTCCACCTTCAGACATACATTTTAATACGGGCTCCTATGAGTCATCAGAAAAAAAAATTTCAAATATTGAGGAATCCAAAAAATTTCTCTTTCAGCTTATTTATTATATTTGTTTTTGTGACTCTTTGAGAGTAGCATTTCCTGTTGAAAAGAAACCATTGAAGAGGTAAATTTTTGCCAGGGAACTATGCAAATTATATCTTTTTCAAGAGGAAAAATACTTTGAATCTACTCTACAATAGTGCACTTTGATTTGAAGGCTTGCGTGGCTTCTCTGCAAATTTTTAGTTTCCAATTCGTATATCCGAATATAAATTTTCGTAACATTTAATCTTAAATATTCCCCCTTAAGCACTCGCAATTATTTGGTATTCTAAACATGTGTTATTTTAACTTTCAGGCACAGATCATAGTTGATGCCATTGTTGAACTTTTAAAGTATCAGTAAATCTTAGACAAAGGACTGGATCAGCAAAGAAACAGGTCCCCAGCACGACACGTGCGTCTCAATAAGCCAAGATTTTGTTGGCTTTCAAAGCTTAAATATTCCGAGCAGTTGAAATAAACGTTGTTCCAATTTAATTTTCATTCAAGATAAAGCCCATCGGAGGTTTTGTAAAAATTGTTTTCGGCAAGGGCTGATTGTGTATCAAACTTCAATGCTCCATCAATATTTGTTTTAAATTTTTAACTGCTGGGTGGCTCTGACTTTGAGTTTTCATAAACTACAAATGCTGTCAGTTTCACTCTTTATCAGTTTGTAAGTAAAAGTTCATTTGTAACTGTAGGAAGAAAGGAAGCTCTGAGAACAAGAGCAGTGTTTTGATGTGGTTGTAGTGAAATAAACAAATTCTCCCAGTGTACCATTATTTTTTACTATAATTAGATTAAGTATGTGTCATTCCAGGAAGATTTCTTTAACAGATTGCAGGAAAATGCACTTCTGGGGGACTTAAGTTTTAAAAGTTTCCCGGGGGAGCATGCCTCCGGACCCCCCTAGAGGTTCGGGCCTTCAGCCCTCAATTTCACAGTGTACCTACCTATTCACAGAAGAAAAGAATAACTCTATGTTAGCGTATAGAGCGATATGTTAATCGCACCAATCAGGTCGCTGCATTAGGGTATGTATCTCGCACCAATCAGATCGCCACGTTAGGGTATTTATCTCGCACTTATCAGATTGCCGCGTTAGGGTATGTATCTGACACCAATTACATCGTAGCATTTTGATATCTTGCACCAATCACAGCGTTTGGGAATTCTTTTCTCGTACATGATGTTATGGAATCAGGAGGCCGTGCACAAAGAATAACATTAATCAGAAATTTTGGGCTTATTTGTTAAATAAAATGGTTTGTGGCCTTCGCGAGAGCCTCGTCCATTAAAGTCGAGATTTATCGGGATATGAAAGGTTCACAATTAAATTTTTAATTTAAAACGTGTTTATTCCGCCCCTTTACTCTGAACATCACATACCCTGAAAACAACGTCCAAAGTCCAATCAGAACGTACCCAATCATTGGACTACATGATTATCAGGTAATTTTTCAGGTGCTTGAATTGCATTCTACTCATCAATGCAAATTTCATTTTGTCACGTTAGACTTCGCATTATCCGACACCACTGAAAAATAATTGACATGAAACTTTATGCTACAGATAGTGAATTTTCAACGCATTCTCGTGCGTTTTGACTTCTTCCACGATTAAAATTCGCTTTTAGCTACCCTGGAATTAACCCAATCGCATGTTAATTCCTTGTAAACAACGTGCATTGTATCACGCATTTCACACACAGGGGGCAAAGTCCAGATAGGCAACAACCAATTAAGGCGCGCTCTTTAAAATATTATTTTTTTCTCTTGCTCAGTGTGTCTTTCCTCATACGAGATCGCGATACATCTTTGGTTAGGTTCTATTGAAGATACAACAGTTTCAGTCTGCTTTTCGCTGTAAACTTACGTGGAATTATATTTTTGAGGCGACTAACTGTAGAGTAGACGAATAATTATGATTCTCTTTCTGTTAACGGTCGCAACCGTTATTTGATCTCGTCACGCAATGGTTTTTTTCTCCAACGGGGAATCGAGGGCGTTGTGTGACGAGACCAAACAACGGCTGCGAAGGAGACTACAGTAAGCGTGGCACCGCTACATCTTATTATTTATATTATTTGCTCAGAAGTAGTTAGACAATAGAGACCATACACCACAAAATACCGATTTAAAGGAGCGTGGGCGGAGTTATGTCCACGCTTTTATGGTTTGTCTCTTTTGTTAATTCTCTAACTTATGCAATTTCTGGTTATCTTGCGAGAATTTTGTCGCTTGTTGTTGGGAATACCGATTACACTGTCAAAAACTCCTGCGAATTAGTAGATTTCATAAGAGATAAGACTCTTAACGCCTGTAAAGAATTATTATCTTTCGACGTTGTTTCGCTCTTCACTAAAATCCCAGTTGATCTTGCCGTTAATAAGGTTGCGGAGAAGAGACTCAGAAGATGTTTCCCTAGGACACAAACTTCTTTGCCTGTGAGGGATATTATTCATCTGCTGTCTTTTTGCCTCAAAACCACGCAATTTGCATACAACGGCACCTACTCTCAACAAGTTTTTGGTACAGCTATGGGTTCGCCCGTCTCTGCTGTCATTGCCAACATAGTAACTTCACTTCACCGGTTAAAGCCTTTTTCTGGAAACGATATGTCGATGATGTTATTTCTGCGGTATCCGGAAATGAAGCGGAGCGCCTCCTATCGGATTTGAATTTATTAGAGCCGTCTATCCAATTCACCCCTGAGCGTGAAAAGGATGGACATTTTCCCTTTCTTGATTTAAATGTGTCCAGAGGGGTTCAGGGTAATTTAGAGACAAGCGTTTATCGTAAATCTACCCACACCAACAAATACCTCGCTTTCAATTCTCACCACCCTATTTGCCATAAAAAATCTGTAGCCAAAACTTTACTCAGGAGGGTTGAATATCAACCATCTTCACTCGATTCGAAGGCTGAGGAGAGGAAACATGTTTCTAACGTCTTAAAGGCGAATGGCTATACAAAAACGTGTCTCCGTAACTGCCACAAACTGGTTACAACTAGTAACACTCCTGATGAGAGGGAACGGTTTTCTTTCTTCTTTTGCAAAAAAGAAAATTCAGCTTTATCGGGGAACACATGCCTAACTAACCATACAATTGGGTGGGATGAGTCTAAAATTATTACCACCAATCGGCGTTACCACCAGCACCTTTGTTTGGAAGCTTGGCATATTACCTCCGCCCACGCATTTTGGTTTTCGATATATTTCTATATTTATCAAAAACCGGCAATGGATATTTTAAGTTCAGTCGAACAATCGGAAAATCTTTGTTCACACGCTGTTCACGTTCTGACTTCATGACTCAAGTGTTCACTCTATCACGTGTTTCCCATGCGATTTTTATTTGGAGGGATTTTAAAAAAACTGACCTAGTACTTTAGCGAAGATACATGTAAAAAACGCACTGACAGCATGGGGGCCACGTGCATTTCATGCAAGGCTGTACTCGGCGTCTATGTTGCCGCCAACGTACAAAATATTTACGGGACAGCGGTGTTTGAAAAACTGAAAACGAAAGGAGTTGAAATAGGGGCGCACTTAGCCAGTTGAATATTAAGTCTTGCCTTCTTCCTAAGAGAAGAATCTAGCTGCTATTTCTCTGAAGAGGAAACATTTGCAGAATTTGCAATTAAGGTTTGTACCCATCATTCAGTCGTTTGACTTCACCGACGAGCGACAACTGAACAGCATAGCGAGTTCAAATGAAACAAAATCAAAGAAAAGGTTGACTTTCTTTTCGACTGAGTTTTCTGAATATTCATAGGTTCCTGTCTTATTCTTTACACGCAGTTTAACAGATGTTCATTGAAGCTATGGACCACAGCCACGGGGCCTACCTCAAAACTTTCATGTTAGCCTTCGATACCATAAAGAACCTCGTCGCCAAGTATTTATCTGTTCGACGTTGCCAAGCGGCTTGAGTGCATAAAGAAACTGCTATAACCTGAGTACGAGTGGGAAAAATCAGTGTGATCCGCAAATTCGTCTTCAGAAATGGGTTAGTAGTTTTACCTTCAGCCATTACTCATTTGCGAGTTCATAGTTAGGAATAAACTGTTGTTTCCGGGTAAATAAATTTCCTAGAAAGGGTTACTGTTTGGATATGACATATTTATGTTTGTCTCTATGCTTGGCGATGTTACGTAAACGCTGCTACATATCGCCTTAATACCGGTGCGAGTTCCTCTCGCTCTGCTCTATATTCTACATTTTGATATCATGCAGAGGAGATGTTTTTTTTTATCTATATACCGATTAGCATTAGCCTCTGTAAAGACAATGTGCAAGGTATCTAAAATTCAATTCATGGCAGTGGGTTGTTTCTTTAAGTACTTATGAACGTTTAGACAATTCTTTTCGCGATATTGCTCGAAGTCACCGTGAATCTATACGATAAACCAGGAAATAATACCTCAGGCGTCATTGTCATGGGATATTATCGTGGTAAATATCAAATATTTGCCTGTTTTGATCAAGACAAATTTATTTACCTAACCGTGATAACATCGGGCTATCTTAGGGTCAGTTGAAGAAAGCAAGAGCCATTTGATAGATGGTAACTATCCGTCATTGACGGCTTTGACTCTGAAATTATCTCGTCCTCGAATCTAGTTATGGTTAGATTAGCGAAAGAAAGGTCATTTGAATCATGGTTTTCCTCGGGTAGTTTCGATTTGACTTGTCGAAACCGAAACTGTGTATTAAACGGGAAAGTCCCTTTGAGGGCGGAATCGTATTGATTACCTATCACGTGCGAATCATCAACGCTACAGATCATTGATGACTCAGGTTTCCACGTTTTCTAGAGTGACGAGAGCGTGATAATGCTAAACATAGATCAGATCGATATTTGCCTCCTTCAATTCTTTTCTTGTGGACGCTGTTCAAAACGTTTTGAAACTTCTATATTTGGTCATATTTCAGTTATAAAACCCAAATATGTTTTTTGAATTGACGTCATTCATCATTGAGAAGCACTTGGGGAGAATTTATTCTCGCAGTTCTCAAACTTTATGCAAAAACCAATAACTACTGAAAGCAGGAAATTCTAAAGTTAAAAATAATAAATAATTTTACATCAGGTGGGCTCCTTCAAGGGCCGACCTTCATTCCTATTACATAACAAGCTTCTTCTTGGGTTGCGTGACAAGCCGAAACGATGACATAAACATTGTATTAAGTAAGTTGTCATGTGTTAGCCAAACCTTTATTCCGTATTTTTTTCCTCCTTGTCCATGAAAAACTCCCGACCAAGGTAACATATTTGATAGATTGAAATGTTTTAATATTTTATGTTTGCACATTTGATCATATCAAAGTGTAAAAACTGCGCACTACTATTATTTAGGCTGTTATTATTATATCATGTTTAAGGCTCTAACATAAGCTCATTGTAATAACATCAGATTTCGCTATGAATAATAATACGCTCGACCCGAATGTTGGGATGACTGAGAGCATTATTCATGAGCATCAGCTGCCCAAGTTGATAGGACCGGAAAAGTGGAGAGATTTGGCGCGAATGTTAGACTTCAGCGAAAATGACATTGACATGATCCAAGCTGAAAAGACCAATTGCCCCAAGGAATGTTGTATCGCTGTCATTGTAAAATGGATCCATCGAAGGGGACGGGATGCTACTGTTGGAAAGCTTGCAGATGCCCTGACTAAGATAGAACTCAAGAACGTGGCTGATATATTGCTGGGTAGGTAAAATAGTTTTGATCATTTGATTTTTGTTCAGTATTTTTAAGAGAAGAAGCACTAAATAGCGTCTCAGCTCTATCTATTTATCTATTTTCGCCAAATGGTATAGCGTAGTTGACAAAGTAGCTGGCATAATTATGTTTCCCTGATGATATTCACTGCCAATGGTATTGCTTGGAATTTGAAACCAGGTTAAATATTTTAAAGAATTCTTGGAAATATTTTCAGAGTCCCCGACGTGACTGTACGTGTTTTTCAGTAGAGAGTTTCTTTGAATTTTTCATAAGAAATCCAACTCTTTTCCAGTGCATACATTTTCATGAAACGAGGGCAGACTCTAGGAAGTATTATATTTACACTCGACCTCTGAAATGTTACAAATAGCTTCCGTCCTTTCTGGTGATGTCTTAAAACAAGTGTACAGCGAAATGCGCTAAAAAAATGGGACTCCGTAGGTTCAAAACCATAGTACCCATGCCCAAATACCACATAGGATTCTTCGATCGTTTTTCTTTTCAAAGCTCTCTATCTCTTACTTCTGATAAGTTCAAACATGTAAAAAAACCATGATACACATTTTAAAATGGTTTGTTTAAGGTCCGATCAATGGTAAAAAAACCATCTCTATTGAAGTTAGAGGAACTATTGAGGTAGACAATACAAACCAGGTTAGTTCGTTATTCTGTAGCAAATGAACATTGGTTGCTGAACTGTTCTGTCATATGTAAACTTCGTAATGGGCCACCCTCACCACAGAGTCTCTGTAGCTCAGTGATAGAGCATCATAGCGCGGAATCCAAAGGTCTGAAGTTCGATTCCTCATGGGGACTCAGAAATTTTTCTTTGTCCCACACTCGTGACAAGGCGAAAAGTATCTTTTTCTGTTCTGAAATGTTCCAAAAAGCCATGGTTTGGTTTATTAACTGTACACTTTTTTCTTCCCTGAACTAGATCATATTGGGCAACGACAGTACTAGGAGGTCAACGTTCTTTGTGTGGGAGACCAAAACAAAAGAATTTCATACATCTTTGAAGGTAACTATTAATTTAGAGGTAGACGAAAGCGCATGGAAACAAAAACATTTATTGCAAGCAAAATTAGCAACTGCCTATTTCAACCCCTTACTGTGGTATTACTTTCTGAAACAATATAAAGTAAGTCGAGGCAAAACTGCACCTTAATCATCTTAGATCAGAATTAAACGTTCTCTTTAATTTATTTCCAGTTCATTATTTTCTGCAAGAGATGGGTAATGATAACGAGAATTTAAAATGCCATTACCGCTAAACTTGACTTTGTAAGTTGTCTTCCTTTGATTTTGTAATGGCCCGGCAATCTTTTGAGAGAGTTACGCGAGTTTGCTTCGCACAAAGTTGAAATTTTAAGCAGTATTTTTCTTGATGTGAATTACGCGTAGAGATTTTGAATGAATGTATGATATTTATGCATACGACTTTTAATTGTCCTTTCAGGAAATCAAAGAGTATATACATATCATCGACCAGGTTGTAGGAAATACACCCAAGCAAACAGAACATGTCGTGGTTGAAGATCTTACCTGCAAAGTTAACCAAATTTCCGAGGACATAGAGAATCTTCAAAAAACACTTTCAGACATAAAATCCAGTTTGGAAATGCCTGAATTAAAAGGTGAAACCTTCACAATGCAAGGAAAGTTGGAGTTCATCGGCAAACAGAGCAGAACATTGGAGGAAGTGTACACTAAAGTAACAAGAATGACAGGCCAAGCTTGTGCATGTGACAAGTTCGTTAGGAGACAGTTCTATGATTTTACCTTTTGCAACTTAAAAGCCGTACATGATGATCTGAACGCTCGTGTCGCCGACCTGAAGTCAGCAGACACAAACCTCACAAAGGAAGAAAATGAGAAGCTTCAAATTCTGCTGGCAGACCAAAGAGGAAGAGAAAAACAGGTTGAGCAGTTGGAAGCAACGCGGGCGCAGCTATTCTTCTGCGTATGTAAAATTACCTGCATGCTTGATATTGTTTTTGTAATTCTTTTTGTATGCTTTTGGCTAAAAGCCATTCTTTCTCCATACCATGTTAATTTTTTTTTAGTGCGGTTACGGTCAGAAATATCCAAGCTATTTTAAGCGCACATGTAGAATCTTGCTGGCTTGTGTTATGAGAGAAGCGCAAAACGTCTTTGTCAGCTATCCAACGTTGTGGAATGTGAAGTAACTTCAGACCACTCCAATGACCTTACTAAAAGAGGAAAAAATGATACGAACAGGCTCGAGTGAGATGTGGATGCGAGAATTAAGAGCATGGAGGAAATTTTTACTTACACTTGGGTAATAATCCACCATTTATAGAGCTAAACTGCTCTTATTTTTGTTTTGATTGCAGGCTGAGGAAGAACAGAGGATATCTCAATACTCAACACCAGAGAGACGAAAATCAGCGCCATCTATTCCAGTGCAGGTAAATTTAGACGAATATGAAAGTTCTAAATGTTTTTTAGCAAAGGTTTATATCCATGCACATTGTGTTCTCCTTTAGAACTTATTATGGTATTACTTTCTGAAACAATATAAAGTAAGTCGAGGCAAAACTGCGCCTTAATCATCTTAGATCAGAATTAAACGTTCACTTTAATTTATTTCTAGTTTATTATTTTCTGCAAGAGATGGGTAATGATAACGAGAATTTAAAATGCCATTACCGCTAAACTTGACTTTGTAAGTTGTCTTCCATTGATTTTGTAATGGCCCGGCAATCTTTTGAGAGAGTTACGCGAGTTTGCTTCGCACAAAGTTGAAATTTTAAGCAGTATTTTTCTTGATGTGAATTACGCGTAGAGATTTTGAATGAATGTATGATGTTTATGCATACGACTTTTAATTGTCCTTTCAGGAAATCAAAGACTATATGAATACTACCGACCAGTTTGCAGGAAATACACCCAAGCAAACAGAACATGGCGTGGTTGAAGATCTTACCTGTACAGTTAACCAAATTTCCGAAAGCATAGAAAAACTTCAAAAAACGCTTGCAGACATAAAATCCAGTTTAGAAGTGCCTGAATTAAAAGGAGAAACCTTCACAATGCAAAGAAAGTCGGAGTTCATCGGCAGACACAGCAGAACATTGGAGGGAGTGTACACTAAAGTAACAAGAATGACGGATCAAGCTTGTGCATTTAAAGAGTTCGTCAGGAGACAGTTCTATGATTTTACCTTTTACAACTTAAAAGCTGCACATAGTGATCTGAACGCTCGTGTTGCCGACCTAAAGTCAGTGGACACGAACTTCACAAAGGAAGAAAATGAGAGGCTTCAAATTCTGCTGGCAGACCAAAGAGGAGGAGAAAAACAGGTTGAACAGTTGGAAACAACGCGGACGCAGCTATTCTCCACTGTATGTAAATTTACCTGCAGTATTTATGTAAATTTACCTGCATGCGTGATGATATTTTTGTATTTTTTTTTGTATGCCTTTGGCTAAAAGCCATTCTTTTGCCATGTCATTCCATGTCAAATTTAGTGTGGTAACGGGCAGAAAAACCGAAAACTGCTGGCTTGTGTTCTGGAAAAAGCGGAAAATCTCATAGCTAGATATCCAACGGTGAAATTTGAAGTATTTTCGAACCATTCCAATAAACCTACAAAAAGAAGAAAAACTGGTACAGACGGTCAGGAGTGAGATGAAGGTGCGAGGATTAAGAGTATTGAAGAGATCTTTTCTTACTCTTGGGTATTATTCCACCACTTACTGCAACTAAATTGCTCTTATTTTTGTTTTGATTGCAGGCTGAGGAAGAACATAGGATATCTCAATATTCAACATCAGAGAGGCGAAAGTCAGCGCCATCTATTCCAGTGCAGGTAAATTTTAAGAGAATATGAAAGTTCTAAATGTTTTTTTAGCGGCAAAGGTTTATATCTATGCACATTGTGTTCTTCTCTAGAACTTATTTTTACATTTTGATGGCCGCTTTTCTTTTGAAGGAAATTGTAGGATGTGAAGTAAACTGTTGTGAAACGGGTTTGATGGGAGGGCCGGACAGGTTTAAAGAAAAAGAACCCTTGAGATTCAAGTTTTCAATGAATTACCTTGAGGTAAACGTCTTTAGATGATTTTGGATTTTTTTCTTTTAGTTACCATCAGCAAATACAGATGGGGTGTCGCCGAGGAAATCCACCAAGGTTTGGTCAAGCTTTTAATCTCACAATACTAACTTTTAACAAACAAACCGTTACCGTAGAGAGTTCTTTTTCCTTGTGTTCTCATGATCCAAATATTTTTTTAAGTGACGCCTCCAATGGTCGCCTTACACTTTTCCTAGTCAGGTTAAGCCCAGCAGTGCTTATCCCTTTTCACCTCAACATCAGCGTGCCCATTCTCTATACTGTTTTCTATACAATTCCTACGGTGCTGACAAGGAGAATTTGTCTATCAATCTAGAGAATATTTAGTTGGTGATCATTTCCTTTATTCTCATGACCTTGCTGTGTGATGCAGGGGTCATACTGCTGGGAGAACTTAGATGCTAGTCACTCTGAGGGTTAAAGGGTGAAACATCAGCCTCCTGCATAAGCCATACGGCATATGGCTCCTGATAAGTCTTTTTTGACTGACCTAGGTAACAAAATTAGAGTACCGGTGAGACTCATGATCAACTAGTCCTGTCATGGGTTATAATTGTCATCTTTCTGTTCCAGATCAAACGAAATAAAACATGGAGTCTTTTTAGAAGCTGGAGGAAGAGCAGTGAAATACCTGCAGTGAAGAGCAGTGAAAATATGTGCAATCTTGTTTCCTATTCCCAAAAGGCTCCGGAGGATTCTTGACTCCAAAGGAAGGTCTTGAGTAAAAAGTTGAAGGTCACATGTTGCTATGCATTATTCTATTGACACCATATACACTTGTTATGGCCAACGAAAAACATGTTTCATGTCTAGAAGAATCTCTCTAGGACTTGATTTCCTTACGTAGTTAAAGGAAAAAAAGAGGGACTCAGTTATGCAAAACGGAGCATCTGCCATCTTTACCAAATGGGCTATTTCTGTTACGTTTCTAATCTGATGGTTAAGCATGCAAGGTCTTCAAGCTGCCCTAGAGGAAACGAGCTATAAAAATTCATCCTATTACGATATGTTGGGAGGAATTACTAACATAGGATAAGTATGATGATTTGTTGCTCATTTTGCTCTATTACTAAAGATATTTCAAGAGACAAGCTAAGAGTAAGAAGACGCTGCCACCTTTTGGGGCAAAATTTTAACTTCAAGGCCGTAGTAGAAAAGTATGAATAAAAACTGGCATACGCGTGGGCATTAAACATTAAAAAGTTTACGTAATTGTAACGTGTAGAATAATAACATGAAACTTAGTAAGAATAGAATAAATGTGCATTTATAGAAAGTAGGCTCAAAGGATTCAGGCTTGGAGATTGTCAACATTATTAAAGCTAGGCTATTTCATTTAAAACAATCAGGTTTTACAAAATTTAGCATTAGATTTTGTTGCAAATTTCTTATTATACAATTATAACCAAGGCCTTTTTTACGGAAAACGAATTGACATAACTAAATGAACATAGTGATAGTGGCAAATTAAAAAAAAGAAAAGAAAAAAATCGGAAAATCAATAGTAAAAAAATGCTGCTTGGGCAGCATGTCTTAGCCTTAGTAGTGCTGTAACTTTAGTGTTACGTTCGGAGGTCGATGATAGTATTCTTCCGGGGTCTCCTCAGAAGCATAAGGATGAGCAATGAAAATAGTCTTTTTTATATTCTTTAAGGGTTCTGGTGAATTCTTTACCATTAATAATGGTCTTAAGTACAAAGCTGAGGGTCAAAAGGCAGGATGTTGCATTCTATGGAAATTATACAAACTTGTTATACCGAGTGGAAACATGTTTCATGTCCGGAGAAGGCCCTATAGGACTCGAAGCATGTACGTTGTTGAAAGAAAAAAAAATTTAGTTCAGTGTAAGTTTTTCTATGAAAAACTGGGATTCTATCTTTTCCACTGAAGAGACCATTTCTGACGTTACTCATTTAGTGGTTATGAAAGGAAATGAGAAATTTAAGAATTGTTTATTTTAGATTACAGCAGGAGGAATTGTAAACATAGTATGTGTATTTTATTGCTTTTGGGCGTACAGTTATAAGTAATTTTAATTAAAGAAATTAAAAAAAAAGATGAAAAAAGAGAAAAATTAAAAAATAATTTAAAATTAAAAAATAATTTAAAATTAAATCTAAACAAGTCTTAGTCTTAGCAAAAATTAAGATGGAATTGAACACGTTTGGAGGTCTTTGGTCGTATGCTTCCGACTTAATTAATTCTGGTTATATTGTCAGTCGACAGGTTTTAAATTGTTCTTGCTATTAGCTACGAATATGATATTGATTTAGGAAATCATTTATCGCCGGCAGGAGTTTTTTTTTTTTTTTTTTTTTTTTTTGGGGGGGGGGGGGGTTGGAAGGACCTGAGGGCGGATCAGGGGAGTGTAATGAGGGAATATAAAAAAGTTGGCGGGGGTGGGGTATCATAAATATGCTAAGGCTGATAAGGCTCCTTAGCATATTTATTTATTTCCTTACCAGCCCCGGCTGGTAAGGAATGGCCGGTCCCTCACTCGTCACGGGGGGTGTTTTTCAATTATTGTCGTAGGGAATAAAAAAAAGAAATACTTAATTGGATAATGATCACGTGTTTCGGCTCAGATATGTTATGATTCAGTGGAATTTGTATTACTAAGAATGGAAAAAAAAAAAAAAAGAAAATTGCTCGTTGAGTAGTCTAGCTGAGATAGACGTGATCTCTATGTGATAATTTTGTATTAACCATAAATTAGACATATCTTTTGAAATTTTTTAAGCAGATAGGGAAAGGTTATAGTAATTGCGAAGTTTTTTGGATAATTTATTGTAAGAGTTACTTCGCTATTAATAAAGTCAGTTGTCAAGCTGGAATTAGTTGAAAACTTTCAGTCGCTTTAATTATCTTCCGTAATTGTGAAGTTTTTCCAGAAAAGACAACATTTGGCCAGGATTACCCACTTTTTTCTGCTAAAATTACTCACTTTGATCCTCAAATGATGCTTGCATTAGGTTCACATACTTTGTAACTTTTGAGAGGAATTACTGTTGTCAAAAAAAAAAGAAAAGGTTTGAAGTCTGCTCTCCAGCTTTTCCCAGTTTCTCTGGCAAAAAGGGGACCTTTATTCAGTATAACTTACCACAAGCGAGAGAAGAGGCGAGGTGACAAGTAAAATTGGTCTTATGATTACTATTTATGTCACGCACACTTATTTTTGGCTCGTAAGTTCACATATTTTAGTTCTTTAGACGATTTATTATTATTATTATTTTATAAAAGACTTGTTCTTTTCTCATTTTTGAAAACACTTTTTTTGGTCCGTGATCTGATCCGTAATCCAGTCCGGTCCGATCCAGATTTTGTCGACACCGATTGTAAGGGTTATAAATTGAGCGAGCTCCTCTCTGGCAGAGGAAGTAGCGCTGTTGCAGTCGTCAATGTAGCGACGTAAAGTTCAGGTTTGAGGGCGGCTGTATTGACCGAAAAAATTGGTGTTCGGTAAAACCTACAATGTTTTAGTGGATGAAAGTGAGATCGTTGTCAAAGCTTCCTTTTGGCAGGGGTCGGCCCGCCAAACAATGACTTCGCCGCCTTTGTCGGCCGCTTTGATAACTATGTATGCTTTTGTTTTTTTGTTTTTTGGCTTTTTAGTGTTTTAAAACTCTTCACGGTGGCCAATTTACGTTATAAAATCAGTTGACAGTACTTAATTACCCTATTTCAAAGACAGCCCGTTTTTGGCCAGCTGCACAAATGACTGAAAATTCATTATTAGAGGCCTTTGTTGTTTTCGCGTTCGATGGCTCAGTTCAGGTACCGAACCAATATGGCGGACAGCCACGTTTTCCGGAGCTCTCACGTTATTGCTCTTTTGCTCCTGGGTATCATTCTCAGCGCTGGAAG